AGTTGATTACTACCCGCTATTGACCCAACTTCACTACTTCTAGGTTCAACAACATACAATGTAACATCATCACTTGAAACACTAATGTAAGCAACGAATCGTTCAACATCTTCATTGTCGGTTAACAAATAAACTTTACCATTTATCTGATAAGATAGCCTAAATCCATTTAGGGGCTCTAAATTCAATTTATTTGCAACGCGTAACATTAGAGTTTCATAAGTTAACTTTTTTAATGACAGTTTTAGTTGAAGATTTATGGGTAAAGGCATATATTGTAAAACACCATGAACATTCTCCCATGACCCTCCAAAACACAAATCTATCCAAACATGATCAACATTAGATGATTTCATTATTGTAAATTAATTTACTAAACAAACGAGCTGCGAAACTAAAACCTGTTGCCGGATGGGGAATGATGTCGTTGGATATAGGAACGGATGTCGCCGGAGAGAGTGATAGATGGAGATGGAATGAGTTGCAATTTAGGGATTTAGGTTATGAGTTGCTGCTGCTGCTTAGTTATAAACCCAAAACATTTGTGTTGCGAAATTAAAACCTGTTGCGAATTCAGAAATCGAGTTGCGAATTTGAAATTCAGTATTGCGATGGACAGAATCTCGTTGCGATTTACAGATTCGCATTGCGATTTACGTATTCACATTGCGATTTACGTATTCACATTGCGATTTACGTATTCGCATTGCGATTTACGGATACGCATTGTGATTTACGTATTCTCATTACGATTTACAGATACGCGTTGCGATTTACGTATTCTCGTTGCGATTTACGGATACGCGTTACGATTTTACGTATTGTTGTTGCGATTTACGGATACGCGTTGCGATTTTACGGATACTCGTTGCGATAGTCAGAATCGCGTTGCGATTTATATATTCGAGTTGCGATTTTCATATTCGCGTTGCGATTCTGGAAAATCGCAATGCGAATTTGTACTATCGCATTGCGATTCTTCATAATCGCGTTGCGATTCTGGGAACTGATTTGCGATTCTGGAGATCATGTTGCGATTTTTATTTCGCATTGCGATTTTGTTGGTCATTTTGGCAAATCCAAAAAAAAATTGGTTAAAATCGTATATTATAAGGCATTTTTTGTCACTGAGGTTATTTTCTCTATTTTTAATACATGGTTGCTTAGGCGTGATGGTTGCTTAGATCCCCGTGTGCCTGTCATTCGGTCTATCTCGATCACCGTACCTCACATTTATTTCGCATGCCTATATCATTCTTTATATTATCATTTACAAATATAAGTTTATATATGTTAATCGTAAGGTTTTTTTTTCATATTACATGTCATGTATATTAGTTTATTAGAATCGTGTGTTTTAATATTATTACAGGTCTATGGGCTTTTCTACCTAATTATCACCCTAAATATTTAATATTCCTTTTTTAACACCATTCTTCCAATATTTCCCAAACTATCACCCATTTGGCTGTTGTGGAGCGAAGGCGTGTTTCCGGGGGCATGCCTTCGTGGGATTTGCTGATGTGGAGTGAAGGCACGTTTCAGGGGACTACCTTCCAGCTGGTGTGGCATCATAGTGGAAAGAGTATTTCAAGGGGTGTGCCTTCCGAAAGCTCTTTTGGGGAACGTATTTTCACATGGTTTTAAATTAGGATTTTAATTTAAGGTTAAAGGTGATAGTGGTTTAGGGTTATTAGAATTTAATATTTCCAAATACGAAAATTAATGTGGAAATTAGGGTGGGTTCGATTTTGTAACCGCCAACAACTTTCACAATATACCCGAACCCGGTTGTAGACAAATACTACCAAATACGTGTTGGTGTCGATATCTTCTTGTTTCAAATAATTTTTTTCCAAAATACGATCATTTTCCTAATTAATAAACATTCCAAAAATTTAAAATTAATATAAATTCATGAAAACTTTAAATTAAAAAATATTAAACATTAACATAAATTTCAAAAAAATATTATCATATCACTAAAATATCTTCAGATATGATTTGCATCTAATCGCAACAGCATCTCACTTTTCATTATAATTATAAGCAAAAAATATAATTAGCATAAATAATTAATTAATAAATTTAAATATATAAATATTATAAAATATTATTTTAATAAAAATATAACATTAGTTTTAAATAATTATTTATAAAAAAATATAAATTTAAAAATAAATTTTGTCAACTATTAAGAAAATTTTAACTCAAATAAGAGAGTGATTTGAGTTATATTAGAGAAAAAGAATAATTTGGTGTGAAGAATAAAGAGTTAAGGGGATTTATATAGGGGAGGAGTAGGAGGTTTAGGTGGGAAACTGGTGTGAAGAAAATTTTAACTCAAATAATTTGGTGTGAAGAATAAAGAGTTAAGGTGTGAAGAATAAAGAGTTAAGAAAATTTTAACTCAAATTTTGAATACTGACTAGTGCTTACAATTTTTCTGTTGGCTTATCATCGTCTAACTGGTCAATACGAAAACTGGAATTTGGTGTTGAAAGTTGATTGGGATTTGGATTAGGGAAAGGTTGTGGGTTTTGAGATTGTGTTTGGTATTGGAAATGTGGTGAAACAATATTTGCTTGGTGATGAAATTGTGGTGAAACCATTAAATTTTGAGCACCATAAACTGGTGTTTAAAAACTTAGTTGATTACTACCCGCTACTTACCCAACTTCACTACTTCTAGGTTCAACAACATACAATGTAACATCATCACTTGAAACACTAATGTAAGCAACGAATCGTTCAACATCTTCATTTTCGGTTAACAAATAAACTTTACAATTTCTCTGATAAGATAGCCTAAATCCACTTAGAGGCTCTAAATTCAATTTATTTGCAACACGTAACATTAGAGTTTCATAAGTTAACTTTTTTAATGACAATTTTAGTTGAAGATTCATGGGTAAAGGCATATATTGTAAAACACCATGAACATTCTCCCATGACCCTCCAAAACACAAATCTATCCAAACATGATCAACATTAGATGATTTCATTATTGTAAATTAATTTACTAAACAAACGAGCTGCGAAACTAAAACCTGTTGCCGGATGGGGAATGATGTCGTTGGATATAGGAACGGATGTCGCCGGAGAGAGTGATAGATGGAGATGGAATGAGTTGCGATTTAGGAATTTAGGTTATGAGTTGATGTTGTTGCGTAGTTATATACCCAAAACATTTGTGTTGCGAAACTAAAACCTGTTGCGAATTCAGAAATCGAGTTGCGAATTTGAAATTCAGTATTGCGATAGTCAGATTCGCGTTGCGATTTACGTATTCGCGTTGCGATTTACGTATTCGCATTGCGATTTACGTATTCGTATTGCGATTTACGTAATCGCATTGCGATTTTCCAAATTCGCGTTGCGATTTACGTATTCGCATTACGAATTAGGAAAATCGCAACGCGAATTTGGAAAATCGCAATGCGATAGTCAAAATCGCGTTGCGAATCTGGAAACTGATTTGCGATACCGAAGATCGCGTTACGAATTATCGATCGCATTGTAATTTAGTTGGTCATTTTGGCAAATCCAAAAAAAATTGGTTAAAATCGTATATTATAAGGCATTTTTAGCCACTAAAATTATTTTCTCTTTAGAAAAAGACCTAATATTTATGTTTAAGCCTCTAATAAATGCATTAATGATAGAAGATTTAATAGTAGGACCAGAATGTTATCTAAAATGAACTAATATTTATCTTAATAAATGCATCAATAATAAAAGATTTAATAGTAGAATCAAAATGTTCAGCTATATAATTACAGTCGAGAGGAATTTCTGAACATATTAATGAACACAAAGGAAAAATGGAAAATGCAGCGATGCGACTTAACGGCTACCGCATTCAGCTAATGAAAAATGAAGACAACATAGAAACAAATAAAAAAAGTTCACAGATCCGATCCAAAACCCATAAATACATAAAAGTAAAGCAAAACATACACCATGGAACGCCAAGGGATCCGAAATCGGAGTCAACCCCATCGAAACCGAGGAGACTGACCCCGAGAGATCGGGTCATAAGACGAGACGCGAACGAAGGAGCGAGAGGTCAGCAGCAAAGAGAGAAGCGCGAGAACGATGAAGAGAAGGCAGAGGCAGGGGGATTTGACGAGTCCGACGCGGGAAATGTAATTGGTGGCCAAGAGATAGAGGTGAGGCTTCTTGGTTTTGGACTCGTCGTCGAGAAAGGCGGGGGATCCGGGGATGGGAGATACGGCGGCGACAGAGGAGGAGGGGAAATCGAGGTCGGAGTGGGGCTGAGAGCGGCAGGAGGAGAGGGTACGGTCCTGATTGATGGCGGTTGGGGATTTGGGCAACGAGAGAGAGTGGGTGTTGTGACGTGCACTCATGTTTTGGGAAGCTATACACCAGTACTGTGGCTGCCTTCGGTGGATTTTCACCCTTTCTTCTTCTTGAAATAATGCAGCATTAATGGGCCGATACAACAGTTCTCTACGTAAAAATGTAATTCTAAGATGAGGTCACGTATAATATTTATTTATTAAATTAAAATAAAAGAGTATAAATAAAAAATATTTTTTTAATAAATATGTAAATACAAAAATAAGTATTGGATCCATTTATGTTCACACAAAAATTATTTGAAAGCTTATTTACAGACTCATTTGTAAGTTCAAGTTTCTCAATTTTCTTTTACATCTTTACACTTTTTTAAAAGATAGTGCCAAAATATGGACTAAACTGAATACGCCGTGAATTTTAGAGTTCAAATCGTGAACATATAAACGGTCATGTTGATGAACAATATATACAAATGAATATATTTGCAAACGTTAATATAAACCGAACACAAATACCTTAAAAAATAAATGAAAATGACATTAAAGTTTAAAAGAACACAGACCAAATATAAAAGTTTTTAAAAACAATCAAGCCAAAATAAACTTATTCCTTCAAGTCCGATTCATTTATACCCAGTCTCTGCCATGAAAACATAACCCCAAACAATGCTAGTCGGATTGCAGAAACTACGTGTATTGGAATCCATTGTTGCCTGCTTCCTACCCAAAGCTATCAGTGGGAATGTTTTACTGGTAAAAGCTTAAATTGCATGCATACAAAACACACATTATCATCTCTTTCATAAATTTAGCTATCAGTGTCCAGTCATTGCAGACACAAAGATGGTGGTGCTTAAGGCTCCTCAGACGGTAAATTTTTGTCGTAAGTCCATTCATGCGCTTTCCACTCGGGCAGTTGTTGAATCACCAGCTGCATTGGTTATGTTCCCATCATTTTAACGCCACATTTCAAAAAAAAAAAAGAAAAGTCTGAGAAAGATTACAAACCATGCCCCTTGAATCTGGTTTACCAACAGTTGTTTGGCAGGCAAGTCTCCAGCTTTTTGGTTTCTGCAAATAACTCGTGATCAACATATTATTCGACATTCACTCGAGTCCGGATAACATAATTGCGAAACGATGAGTTACCCTCTTCATCTTTTCCTTCTCTTTCTCTGTTCGAGGGTTGAGCAGCTCCATCCCTTCCACAACCTTACAACAGAAGAGAAAATTCGAGAAAATAAAAATAAAAAAACCGACTCAGATTCAAAGCATATTGTTTGCTGGTAGCATTCACCTCAACCATACAAGTTCCACAGGTCCCTCCTCCTGCACAGTTGAGCAGAGGTCGACCCTGAAAAATCAGCATCAACCCTCAAAATCATTTTCTTAAACAATGGCATTTACATAAACACAGGTTGTGCAAATCAATAATGAACTTACATATGGTCCATACAACTCAATGTTATTATCCAGCATTATATCCCTAAGTTTCTGCCCACCACAGGCCCTACGAAAATGTACATCCGGGGTACCATCTGGCAGCAAAACAGACTAAACAAGAACAAAAAGAAAGAAGCAAAATTTCCCATAAATTTTGCAAATCCATATTGAGATTTACATGCACTAGCACTTTGAACTCACATGAACAAATGCAAAGTCAACAACAGGTGGTTCGTTTGGCTCTTTTTCCTCCTCCGTGGCTGCCGGCTCGCTTCCGGGGACGGTGCTAACGGCTCGGATTTTGCATCTAGAGAAGCCGAGGTGGGTTAGGGCCGTGCCGGAAGTGCGGCTGAAGTTGAATTTACGATGAACAGATGATGTGGTGGCAAAGCCATGAATGCTAAGGTGGAGAGTGGCCATTTTCAGATATTTGTCAAGATAATATAAAGGTCTTTCTTCCGTTAGTTTTAGTAATGGATACAGACGATGAATTTGATGTGTTATGCATGGCCTTTTGTTTGTGTTAAGTGTAGGCAGGTGTGTGGTGGTTCTTTTCTATCTTATCCAAGATCTACTGTGGGGCGAAGGTTGATCATGGGCTTTGTTTTAGCTTAATAAATGAAAGCCCAATTTGAACAAATGTCATAGATTATAATTTAGGGTAAACTATGTATTTATTCATCAATTTATTCTTGTGATTCCGTTTTAGTCACCCAACTATTTTTTTTAAATCATATCTAATGTTATATTTTGATTATGTTTTGTTCAACTGCCATTAGAAATTAAACAGAATTACTGATGTGGCAACTTTTTTTAATGATGATATAGTATTACCTTATGGTGACACATCAATGTCACCGTTAATTTTTAACGGTAGGTGACCAAAACAGAACCAAAATGTAAAGTTAGGTATAATTTTGAAAAAAATAATAATTGAGTGACCAAAACGGAATCGGGGGAATAGATGGGTGGGTAAATACATAGATTACCCTATAATTTATTGAGGCAACCGGGCAGTCCAGTCCAGTTGACCATTTGACAGTTTACCCATTCCTAAGGTTTTTGGGTTAATCCGGGATCTATATCAAGTGTCCTTTGAATCTTGATAAGATGTTACTATGTTATCCTATTCTCTTTGTTAATCGTGAATTTTCTTTTGTTTCACTTGAGAGTACTATCTTAATCTTCCGAAAAAATTCTAAAGTTCGAACAATTATATTTGCAGCTATCACGACCGTTTTTCGGTTGGGCCCGGAATTGAGTTTCGATTTGAAATGATTGGGTTAGAGTCTCCACCGACCGTTTTAAAACGAATATAGGTAGGTCAGATACCATCTTACCTGATCCGCGTTTTTCCAGAAATGTGTCGGGTTCGGGAGTCGGTTACGGTCAAGGAAGGATTAGCACCCTTGAACCGTCCTTTTGGTACCAATTAATTTATCGATTGTCTTTTATTGCGAAAATTAAGAATTTAAATTAAAATTTAAAGTTTTCAATTCGAATGACTTACCTTTGATAAATCTAAACAGAGACCCTTAAAAAGATAGAAAGTTAGATAAAAAAAATATTAAACAAATAAAAAATATTAATATTAATTAACATAATAAATCAAAGGAGACAAAAATGAGAATAAATAAGATAAAAAATGAAATAAATAAATATAGATAAATAAAAGGAAAAAAATGAAAATAAAATGAAGGTATATACATATAAATAAACCGCTAAGAAATGTAGAAAAACCAAAAAACAATAAAATAACAATACAAAAATAATTAAAATAATAAATAAAAAATTAAAAGCATATAATATATGTATATAATAAAGATGGTAAGTGACCAGATTAAAAGAAAACAATATTAAAGGTACAATTCAAAAGGAAATTGGGGCTCAAATTAAGTTAGAGGGCTAAAATCAAAGATTTCATAAACAAAGGACCACGATTGCAGTTTACCCCATTTATTCCAGAAACACGCGGGTTACGCGTGTTGTAGATCAGGTCGGCTGGGCTTCACGGGTTGATATATAACCCCAGTTTAAGCCAAAATCCCCTTCACTTTCCTCATTTCCCTCAAGCTTTCCTCTCCAAATCTCTCCGAATGCTCTCAACCCACAGTCGCTGGTCTCCTTCCGTCGCATCGGCTACCGCGCTGACCGCTGCCGGAGGTGGCAAAAAATAACCCAAACCCACCGAAACACACTCCTCAACACCCTTAACAACAACCCGAAGCCAAAATCCCCAAGAATACCACAAATCGGCGTAGATCTAGCCCGAAGGATTCGACCTTTACCTTTCTCCGCCTGTCCTCTCGGCTTCCCGGCGACCTCCTCTCTGATGCCTTTGGCTTTGCTCCTCAGTTGCTATTTTTTGGTTTCTTCGTGTTGTATTTTGTTTTCTTTATCGATTGCTTATGTGGTTCCCGTTGTTGTTTGGTTATCGTGGTTGTTGGGTTTGTGGTTCGATATTATGTGTTATGGTTCTGCTGTTGATGTTGGTTGGTTGTTGATGTTTGTGATGGTACTTGGTCGTTTGGTTCTGTTTCGTGTACTGTTCTTGTGGCTTGTTGGCTCTTTTTTCCCCTACTGAGTTCTTGGCCAGGGCTTTTATAACCCCCACCAGCCGTTGTGACTCCCGAAAAGGTCGGGATTTCCTGTTGAAAAATCGAATAACTTGGTTCGTGGTTTGTTGACAGCAATTCCGACTATGCCTCCTGCATGTTGTTTATGATACCGGCCATCCCGGGATGGGTTAGTCCCGGGATTCCGACGGCTGTTTCGCGTGACTGTTTGGCTTCCTCCCTATGTGGCGCCTGTGACAAATGTGTAAACCCTAACCACTACTGGGCTGGTTCAAGCCCAATGTGGACAGTTACTGGACCGTTTAATTGGACCCTATTTTGGACCTACAAAATAATAATAAAATAAAATGTTAATAAGAATAAAACAGAGAAAAGGAAAAAATATAAAAAATAAAAATATATTATATATATATAAAAAATATTTTCCAAAACCTATATAATATATTTTTTAAAAAATATTTTAAAATTATATATTATATACTTTTTTTAAAAAAATGTTTTCAAAATTATATAGTTTTCAAAAATGTTTTTAAAACTATATATTATATGTTTTCAAAAATGATTTCAAAACTATAGAATATATATATATATGTTTTCAAAATGTTTTTTAAAAACTATATATATTTTTAAAATGTTTTAAAATTATATAATATATATATTTTAAAAAATATTTTAAAAACTATATATTATATTAATTTTCAAAATGTTTTTAAAAACTATATAACATATATATTTTCAAAAATGTTTTGAAAACTATATATTATATTAATTTTCAAAATGTTTTTAAAAACTATATAATATATAAATGTTTTCAAACATGTTTTTAAAACTATATATTATATATACATTTTAAAAATGTTTTCAAACTGTATACTATATATATATATATGTAAAAAAATAAAAAAAAATAGGACAAAAATGAGTGTCTACAGCTGCCCCTCTTTGTCTTTTTTTGTGGAAACGAAAAATAGGAAAAAGACAAAAAGACACAAATTTTCGTTCGGTGGAGTTGAAAAATCGACTCTGAAAGAATAACTCCCTGTCGAATTGAGTTGAGGCTGGCTCCCCCGTCGCGAGATCGAATCCACCTTGAAATGATAAGATTGGAACCGTAGTTCGAAATTTGAATCAAAATGTGGCTTCTCGTTGCCAATTGTAGTCAACCTCGGTCTTCTTCTCAGTTTAAAGACCTTGGTTTAAAATTTGACTAGAAAGTAATTCCTGGACTCCACTATGCGATTAACAGGCCCTCGAGTTGAATGAAATCGAACTCGAACAATTTATGGACAGATAACCCTTCTTGCCTTTAGCTATTCTGTAAATTTGGTATGCTCTCGAAGCTGAGTGTAATTGAACTCGAGGGTCTTTGGCATATAGCCCTTCTTGACTTAAGCTATGCTGCAAATGATGTGCCTTGTAGCTGAGCGTAGTCGAACTCGAAGGTCTTTGGTTGGCAGATAACCCTTCTCGACTTAAGTTATGCTGCAAATGATATGTCTTGGAGATTAGCGTAGTTGAACTCGAAGGTCTTGGTGACATATAACCCATCTAGCATTGAGTTATATTGTAAATGATGTGCCCTCGAAGCTGAGTGTAATCGAACTCAAGGGTCTTTGGCAGATAGCCCTTCTTGACTTAAGCTATGCTGCAAATGATGTGTCCTCGAAGCTGAGTGTAATCGAACTCGAGGGTCATTGGCAGATAGCCCTTCTCGACTTAAGTTATGCTGTAAATGATGTGCCTTGGAGTTGAGTGTAGTCGAACTTGAAGGTATTTGGTTGGCAGATAACCCTTCTCGACTTAAGTTATGCTGCAAATGATATGCCTTGGAGCCGAGCGTAGTCAAACTCGAAGGTCTTTTGGTTACAGATAACCCTTCTAGTCTTGAGTTATGCTATAAATGATGTGCCCTCGAAGCTGAGCGTAATCGAACTCGAAGGTCTTTGGCAGATAGTCCTTCTCGACTTAAGCTATGCTGCAAATGATGCACCTTTGAGCTGAGCGTAGTCAAAATTGAAGGTCTTTGGTTGGAAGATAACCATTCTCGCCTTAAGTTATACTACAAATGATGTGCCCTCGAGCTGAGCGTAGTCAAACTCGAAGGTCTTTGGTTGGCAGATAACCCTTCTCGACTTAAGTTATGCTGTAAATAATATGCCTTGGAGCTGAGCGTAGTCAAACTCGAAGGTCTTTTGTTGACATATAACCCTTCTAGCCTTGAGTTATGCTGTAAATGATGTCCCCTCGAAGCTGAGTGTAATCGAACTCGATGGTCTTTGGTAGATAGCCCTTCTCGACTTAAGCTATGCTGCAAATGATGTACCTTGAGTTGAGCGTAGTCGAACTCGAAGGTCTTTGGTTGGTAGATAACCCTTCTCGACTTAAGTTATGCTACAAATAATATGACTTAGAGCTGAGCGTAGTCGAACTCGAAGGTTTTTGTATGGCAGATAGCCCTTCTCGATTTAAGCTATGCTGTAAATGTTGTGCCTTTGAGCTGAGCGTAGTCGAACTCGAAGGTCTTTGGTCGGCAGATAACCCTTCTCGACTTAAGTTATACTGCAAATAGTTTCTTAAAAAAATGGCTTCCCTTCACGGGTCTAAGTCGGTCATAATTCCCTAGGTTATTCCCCTGAGCGAGTCTGGAAAAGCCCACTGATAAATTCTGTCAGCCGAATATATTCCGTTGTGGAATTGAAATCTGGCTTGAAGATATTAACTTGAAGTATGTTGCTCATTGTTGAGTTGAGTTGAACTGGATTTGATCTGAATTAGTTCTCGAACTCCTCTGAAGTTGATTATTGATCTTTCAATCTGTCGAATTGGTTGAGGTGTAGCCTCTTGCTGCTGAGTTAAGTAACCACCATCAATGCTTAAGGTGTTTTTGAATAGATTACCATTCATCTTGAAGTCGAAAGTTGACTCTAAAAGCTC